TATATATATATATATATATATATATATATACCATATTTATATGTATATAGATTTTGTATGCAGTTTCACATATCTCTTCATTCTATTTCTAAGAGAGTCTCTAAGAGAGAGTTGGGTGTAGTAATAATTTCGAAGGCATTACGCATGCAACTCTCGAGGATCGAATTACTTGAAGTTTCTAGTGGCAGAGTAATATAACCGTGAAGTGTGCAGTAGTGAATCTCCGCTGTGTAGTCAGACGCGACTTGGCTGACTGTCGTTGATGTTAGTTAGTATCAGATGCGCAGACTTCTGCGCGTGCAATTTCGCATCACAATCTTTCTGCGTGTCTGCCAAGCAAGTGATTTCCTCTCTTTAGCATGTATGCGTCGAAATTTCGGGTTCCTATTTTACGAACCAGCTTTGTTGATAATTATTGTGTTATGAATAAATTATTGCGCATTGAAAATTTATCACGTGCAAACAGTATCGAATATTTCGTTCCTCTTTTCACGCACGAATAATTTATTCAAAAAAAGAAATTTAATATCGTTTAACAACAGCATATGCTTCCAACCATCGGAATTATTAACAACGCAGGAAGCGAATGATTGGGCGAAACTCGATCCAGTCCAATTTGTCGTACTTATGAAACACACAATATCCACTAATTTAGCAAACGTACTGATACACCGAATTTCCACCTGGTTTTCGAGTTGCTATCGGTCGCGTTTCGCGGGGAATCATGGCGCCGAAATGCACGTATAAATTACACGGGATCAATTAACGCCATGTAAACGAGAAGCAACCATCGGTCAACGGTCACGTATTTGCCGGGCTCGCGTATACCGGTACTACGCGATCCCGTTTCCCATCCGGCACGTATCGCATCGATCCCCTGCGTCCGTGTCCCCCTTCGTGGGCCCCGTAGCTTCCGCTAATGCGTCGTGACGAACAATCGCAAGCAGAAATAGCCGGCGGTAGCCAAGATAATTAGTGGCAGTCAATGATCCGCCACGTAACGCGAAACTCACGTATCCGTCGGTTAATCCGACGTTTACGTTGGTATTGCGCTTCGACGCTTTTTCTTCGCAATAAAATATGAATACGTTACACAGTTTGTTGAGAATTCTTTCACGGATTTTTCCCACTGTTTTTACGTTAATCTTCTGGCTCGCATAATCTTACCATTTAGCGAAACATAAAAAGAAGAACTGACATTTCCAGTGGCGGTTCGTATCTTTTTACATCTCGCTGAATAAGCGAAATCTCGCGTTCGCGATAGACTTGACTGTTTCTTGGCAAATAACTAACTTCTGCATACTTGCCGCCAAGCGAGTTCTGTAACAGAATTATGCAAAAACGACGATGGGATCAATGGAAGTGCAAGTAATAGAGAAACGGCGCGAAAATTCGAGCGCACTGCCGTATCCATTCTCGAAGTTGCGACGTTTATGCATTCGAAATATAAGCGCAGTTTACGTCCAACTTTATAACGTACGATTTAATCGGCCATATTTTTCGGCGCGAAAGCCGCGACGGAGTATATTGCGGTCGCAAACATTTTTTAATTAATAAAAGCGCCCCGCGCACTTCGTACGCCATCGTTCGATCCTGTGGATTATCGACATTAATAAGCGATACCGTATTTTACCCGTGGAAGTTTATAGCCGATATTAATGCGCACATTAATCATGCGTTGCGTGGGAGAAATCTGCGAGTGAAATCCTGAAAGTCGGTGTTCACGCGTTGATGGCTTTACGTGTATTACGCGTGTTCAAGCTTAACTAGCTGCAAAAGAAAAGCGATTGAAATGGCACGTTTCTCCTACCTCATTGAATGCTCAAATGCTTCAGCGAAAATAAATTTTTTGAAGTACGAATAATTATGAATGGATCTTACACTTTTACTTATACTAAAATCTTATACTGAAACATATCTCAAGGCATTGTATGCATTGTTAATATTAATATTAAAAAATCACTGATATTTTTAAATTAAAATTGCTGCTTGTTTTGTATAAAAGATGTGTTAATATTTAAAAAATTGTAATTTAGAGTGAAACGACAAGTTTTCTTAAGTTTAAAGCTGGTTAACCTAAGCTAACCTGACTTGAGATAAGTTAAGAGTGCGCAAGCGAATATTAAATTAGAAACGACAAGCGTATCCTTGAATATTTATTCTGATAAAAATTTATATTCGTTTACATATATTGCATAAAGTTTATATAACTCGCGCATTGCGTGCACACATATAGCAATAACAAATGACACAAACTACCTTTTTTTTCATTACGAAAACATATAGATTATACGCGAAGCAGTATTGCAATACTTGCGAGTTAGATAGCCTTGTTTTTAAAACTATCATTACGTGCTGTTATCAGTTTCTTTCTTTTACACTAATTTACACTAGCAACATGAATTGTGATAAGCCGGCAGTACATCGCGAAATTGTATTGGAAAATAACAAGGAACAATTTATTCGAGTGCGCATATAGATAAGCATATTCTTATCATAATTCCGCGTGCATTGCAAAACCACGGCGGTATCCTGTTCGAATTATCGAGCGAGCCTTGACTGATTTCCGGTCACGATTGCTTAGTTCCGACCGTCAAAATGATGGAGGTACAATTGCCGGGAGAAGGCCGGAAGAGGAGATAAAACGTTAACCTAAATTATACGATATGATATGAAAGATTATGTTTCCGTTTATCTTGATTCATCTTTAATTAAGTGATTAAATTTATCTCGATACACTGCATAAGATATTAATGTAGTGTATTATATAAAAACGTCGAAGAGAATATTACATTTTCATACATTCTACACCGTTTGGTAATCCATTAAAAAAATCACGATAAAAATTAAATTTCCTATACTCAAATCTTAATCTAATTACTTTTTGTCTAAGTTTAGATTTTGCTGAATTAATATATGAATCTTTAATCGACTTACTTAATATGTGAAGCTTGTCGATGGAAGAATATATCGTCGTCTTATAATATATGTATAAGGGTATTTTCTTCTTTTCACTGCCGATATAAGACGATATATAAATGTTGAAATGAGCGTGCCATTTATCACCACGAAACGCCATTTCATCCAATCGGTAGAAGGGAGAGAGAGACGTATTTTAGTTGGCTAGATGGGCAAACCAGCGCATCGCTGATGGCACTTGGCGCTCTCGTAAGGACCAACCAATGGCAATTAGTCGAAAATAGGAGCCTTCCTCCAAAGGATAGTTTTCAACTAATTGACCGCCATCCTTACAAAAGCGTCGCGACTTGTCAGAGCAGTTTGTCAAGTTATTCTCTCTCTCTCTTTCTCTCTTTTTTTCTCTTTCTCTCTTTTTCTCTCTCTCTCTCTCCTATCATCGTGCTACAAAGGACTAAACAATCCTTCCACCGTCTCCAACTCCTGTCTCTTCTAGCCCGGACAAGCGATCCATTCGCTCAACACTGCCAAACCGATCGCCGTAGCAACAAGCGATTCGGGACTTGGGCGATCTCGTCCGTCGCTCGTCATGTTTTTTCGATCGATCGCGTTACGGTCGATACGTAGAAACGATCATCGACTACCCGCAATTTCGTCGAGCCGTACAGCATGCTGGCGAACCGATAATCTCCGCCGAACGTCGTCCGCTGTATGGTAGTGCGCGCCGCGGCGTCCTCTTCGAGCCGCGCCTGAAAAAGCGAGCGGGAGCGCGTCGTCGTCGTTAGTGCGCGATGTGCCGTCGGCTGGACACTTCCGATCTCGCGATCTCGTGCGTCCACCGCGCCCGTGAGGCCCGTCGATCGTGGAGAACGCCGCCGGCGAGGCCTTCGCCATCGTCGCCGCCGTCGTCATCGTCGTCGTCGTCGTCGTCGTCGTCGTCGTCGTCGTGGACGTCGTGGATCACGGCCCCGATTCTCAGGCCTCTCGTGCTGCGCTCCTCTCCGCGCCGCTTCGCGAGCTGAGGGCAGGCCGGAGGATCCTGGGCGACGGCCGCACCGATGATGGGATTTATTATGGGCTGCACATGTTTCAAAGGTACCTCCCTGTCGCATCTCTTTCAAGGTTCGTACCGCTTCAGGCTGAGCACTCACGGAGCGCACTCGAGCCGAAAACCTGCCGATGACTGCACAGTGCGCGTGTATGTGCGCGCGCTATTTGGATAGATCGATAAAGTGCGTAGGAGCGGAGATAAGTGGAGGTGACATTTTGCAGTACGCTTTTAAGAGGACACATTTATAATTAACGTCAAACGTTCGAAAGAAACTGTTTTCTTTTGTTTTTTTCTTCTTTGCTCTATATAAAGACCGCTTGCTCTTTTATTAATTTGCAAAGTTTTCTTAGATAAATTGCAAATGGGGGTGCAAATTTGCAGCAGTGAATTGATACACACTTTTTTTTTATTTTGTAGCGGAATAATGAATTTTTAATTAACGAGGCATACGTAATCTCTTGCTCCATACATTTCTCTTGTGGACGTCTTTAAATATTTTAATAGAGTATTTCAAACATTAACAGATTATTTTAGTCACTAAACTGAGCATTAATTTGTCATTTCGCCAGTGTCAATAATAGAACAGTTTGAATTTATAACGATATGGAATATTTAATAACATAGATAATGTATCTTTGCATTAAAAATGTTATGTGCAAATCACAAATACGATACATCAATTATAGTTCTGGCATAATTATTGCAAAATGACATCGCTGTGTCTCTATTTCTACACATGCTATCAATATCCAAATTCGGCATTGCCGGTGGACTTCGACAATTCAATTTTCGATACGCGTACGACTACAACATATATGTAATTAATTGGAAAGGTGCGTGAAACGAAGCAAAGATCAGATTTGTCCGGTCTAAAAAGATAATGATCCAAATACGTCCATTGTCCTCGGTCGGCACACTAATTACGAAAAGTTCTTTGCCGCTGAACAAACACGCGAGAAACGTGGAATCAAGTTAACAAGAAGTTTCTACAATCTTTAATGACATTTTCCCCGCGCATTAATTCGCCGATAACGAAGCTCGTTAGACCGCAATCGCAATCGGCGAAGTATATTCTCTCGCAGAACTTGCTCGGCGCTACGTCTGCTAAAATTTACATACGTTCATCTGGCTCGATAATCAATATTGCGTTCCGACAAAACATTATATATGTACAAGTTCGTTGACTATACGCTGTCACTCGACGGATGGATGGTGGAGATCGAAAATCACAAACAGCGTTATTTCTCGTACCCTCCACACACCTACGCACATACACACACGAGCGCACATCCGTACGGCCGACATTGTTGAGTCGCGGGCCGAAACTATCGAAAGCTCGTAGCGGTCGCGCGCTTCGCGACGCGTAACTGTCACCGCCACAAGGCGCGCGGTTCGCATTCACTTCGCGTATAGACACATGGACACGTGTACGCCTACATACGCGCATCTCACGGTTCTATTTTACTGTTATGCGCCATCCCATATTTACTCACACGGATGTATCGTCGCTCCGTAGACAGAGCGAAACCACGTCAGAACTATGCGTCGCGCGAGACGAATAAGGCCATACGCGCAAATTGTTTTCGGCGTAATATCGCCATATATGCATCACGTGTTACCTCTCTCTGTCGTTTAACCTCTCCAACCCCGATATATACGGGCGAAAATTTACATGTACTGAATATTTGCGTTTAATGCTTATACATCGTTTTTGTATCAAATGCGAATTTGTTCAAATTATTATTTTTTTTTTATCATTCTGCTGTCAAATTACAATAATAAAAGTAAAATTGACATCTGTCCGTTGAAATTTGTCAAATTAAAATCTGTGTCAAATTAAAATCGTTTTAATCATAATTGGAAATAATTTCAGAGTTTTACAAATGTTAATTATGTTAAGTCTAATGCTTATTAAGTTCTTCATTCGCTGCATATATTTGGAATTTTCCTCGATTTTTGGACGCATTGTGCGCGCGTCACGCGATATCACTTTGAGGACCAGGCGTTGACATCTTTATATTCTTCCGTCTAGCACAACGATGCCATTGATCACGCTGCTGTCACGCAGGTGAATGCGTTTTGAAGGCGTATGAAAGCGCGCGCGCGCACGTGGAAAACAATACCTCCGTACACGGTGTGAAGGCACCTTGTGTCCCTCATGCGTATAACGTGTCACGCGTAGGTATGTCATCGCGACATGCATAATAAACAGCGAATCATTCTATCCGCGACGGTTTCCTTTGTAAGCAAATTAGGCGCGCGTCGGTGTCGTCGAGGCGACGGCAATACGCGTCCTTACGTTAAATGTTTAATAAATCAGCGCTTCTTGAGCCCCGAAGCTTAGCTCTAATGCACTCGCGTATAACATTTCTGAAAACTCGAATACTCAGTAAAAATATTGGATCCATTAATTGCGGAAGCGTAGAAAAAAAGAAAAGCTTGTAAAGATTGGTTTTAGAAAATTGTCAGCTAAAAATTTTGACATTAAAAATTTTGTTTTTGTTTTTCTACAAATTTTTTAACAAAATAATTACACGGCTTAAGAAATATTCAGTGAAGAATATTCAGACGCTATACGCGTATTGGCAATCAGATAAGAGATTTACAAACGAGTGGTGTGCAATTAGCATTTGCAATGTCTTTAAAAAGCTTAATCAGCTTTTCGAAGATTTGACTTACTGTTTTGAAGTTTAGTTTTTTGTGATCTTTTACACACATGTCGGCAACTGGAAAATCCTTGTCGCGTAATGCTCGGGTTACTTCACATGCATCTCGCACGAGTGCCCGGTCACGAAGTAGGTAATTAGAGCTTCACGTTTTTATGCTCGCCAAGTTAAACGCACTGTGAGATCGACGATGTAAATTTTCAAGTTTTTATGCCCCCATTTTTTCAAGTGCCGTATACTTCAGGCGTGATTTGGTTGAGAGTAAAATTATATACAAGAGAGCCAATAGAATCGCACGCTTGAATGGCACAAAAGCTTGGTATCATGCTGCTGTAAGGAGCAGAAAAAATGAGAAATCTTTTAGGGAGAGAAAGAAAAAAGGAAGAATAAATTCGATGGTATTTCATACTAGCTTCTAATTATCTCCCGTATGAAAGTCTTGCACGAACCGATTTTTCACGAGTTAATGCGCGATGTTCTTGAAGCTATTTTTTTGTTTAAAATGATGTATGTTTTCTTTTATTTAAAGTTTTGTATGCCATATAGCTATGTAAAAACTATGTTACTGAATGTTATTAATATTAAAAGTAGAGAAATATTTTCGGTCAAACTATAATAATTAATCTAATATATTTAAACAAAGTTGCAAAATCTGATATTTGTTCTAGTTTTTAAATATCAAAAATATTAAAGCAGTGCTCGGAATTAGTCTGAACATTTCAGCCGATTTCCGTGGTATACGCCTCCTTTTCTCTCCTTACCGCGCGCGCCGCACAGTGGTACTGAGGCGGAAAAAATTGATTTTTTACAGTTTAAATTTTTAATTTTATTTTATCATAAAATTGATGTTTAAAGATTTAATATATCAATACTGAAATATTTTTTTCTTTAAAACTTTCTATTTATTAAAATTTTTAATGAACAAAACTTAAAATATTTTTATTATAAAATATATCGTGGTAGGTAATATTCAATTGTCTTGTTTTTTTTAAATCAAAGATTATATATATATATATATATATTATATATATATATATATAATTATTATAAAATATTATATTTATTATAAAAATTTAAGTTAACTTTGAATCTTCCTTAGAAAATATTGCTTTAAAAATGTTTTTTAAAAAAAAAAAAAGGAAATATTAATTAGACGAAGTATTTCTTTATTACCCAAACCTCTCCAAAATGTATTTTTTGTCTAGAATGAAAAATAATCTTTCTAATTTAAAGAAACATCAATATCCAGCTGCGCATATTTGCGCCATTGAGAGAAATTCAAATTTTTATTCAAAGATGTTATGTTATAATGCATCATGCAATCAATGGCGCACTTTCGTCAACTTTTTTGTTGTTTCATATTTCTTTCATAGATGGTGTTTTGCTAAATGTTTTATCTCGTAAGTAGAAAATGTTTTAAAATGACATATTAACAGGATTAGAATTAATGTTGCTCTGGGTCAAATAGTTTTTTGAGCTGATGTATGTTTGTTTTTCCAAATTGATTCGATTAAATTTATTCCTGCATTCAGTATTTGCTGATATATATATATATATGTATTATAAAAATACTAATTACATTTTATTTCTGTAATATTATATATAGAAGATTACATTTTATTTCCAACATAAATCGTTTCAGCCTTTAATTTTTTTTATAATTCCTTTAAATTTATAATTTCTTTAATTTTATCATTTCCTTAATAATTTCCTTTAATTCCTTTAATTACTTCATATAACATTATTAATAATAAGTATTGCGTTCGCTGTTTAGTTTATAAAGATTTTAGTTTTTAAGAGTTTGCTATATATAGTATATCATTGTTTTCTGTTCACATTAGATTACTCGTTTTATTTAACTTTTATTCTTATGACTTACATTTCCAATTTTTAATTTGTATAAATTATATATTAATACATTATATTATTCTTAAAATTTATTAGATTATTTCAAAATGACGACTTTTTCGATTTCTCGTGAACATTTGTCAGAAATAATTCTGACTAATAATTACAATATAGATAAAATAAAAATATTATTAAAAAGTAAATTTACAAACTTAAAGACAAAACACTTGGAAAAAGTGATTCAAGATATTCAAAGACATTTTTTGTATCAATTGAAGAAAAAATGGCAAAACAGTCAAAGAAAATCTGATAGATTCGAAAAAGAAAATAGAAATTGGTTGAATGGAGTGTTCACAGTACAACTTGAAGAAGTTGACTCTGATGTGCAAAGTGAACCTCCAACAAAGAAAAAGGTAGGGAGGCCTCAAAAATCATTCGAAGAATGTTGTGATCGAGCAAAACGGTATAAGGCAAAGCATCTTTGTGAAACTTTTCCCATCGAACAGTTAAATTTGGCTGTCAAGAATGCATCAGATAATAATATAACGCGAGAATATATTGATACTAATCAAACATTAGCGATGATAACGAATGCAGATTTGAGTAAATATCAATATGAAGTAATTCGAGAAACATTAAAAAAAAGTGGTTTCGATATTTTGCCTTCTTATAAGAAAGTTTTAGAAGTTAAAAAGGAATGTTATCCTCGAGAAATGAAGATAACCGAAACGAAAGCTGAAATAGATCTTCAAAATTTATTAGATCACACTGCTGAAAGAATGTTCAAAAGTTTTGATATAAAAACAATTGCAAACATCGACAAAGAGGAATTAATTTTAATTTCCAAATGGGGATGTGATGGGGCATCTGGTCAAAATGAATTCAAGCAAAAGTTTTTGGACAATTCAATAAACGCATCTGATGCATTCATGTACATGGCATCTACAGTGCCGATTCAATTAGTTTCGAACGATGATATCATGAAACAGTTTTGGCAAAACTCACGCCCATCAAGTCCAAGACTGTGTAGACCAATTCAGTTTGAATTCGCCAAAGAAACACCTGAATTGATTAAAAAAACGGTGCAAGACATAGAAAAGAAAATTTCAAACTTGCATGAAACAATAATAAATATATCCGGACATACTTTCAAAGTGAAACATAACATGTTATGTACAATGATTGATGGAAAAACAGCTCAATCGCTCACTGACACAAAATCATCATCAACTTGTTACATTTGTAAAGCGACTCCTCGAGAGATGAATGATCTTAATCGAATTCATCAAAAATCTTATGACGACAATGCTTTAAAACTCGGCTTATCTCCTCTACATGCGCGTATAAAATTCATGGATGCATTCTTCATGTCGCTTACATCTGTCTTTTAAAAATGGTCAGTTACGAAGGAACCAAAAATTGAAAAAGAAAACAACAAAAAAAAAAAATATAATAACTAACGTAAACGTAAACGTTAACGTTAAACGTTAAACGTTAAACGTTAAACGTTAACGGTTAACGGTTAAC